AGTGTTAATATCTGTGAAACTCCACATTTCTGTAATGGAGGCTTGTTGGTAGTGTTGTAGTAAAATGTATTCCTTCACTCCATTCCTCATTGTTCTGTTTTTTGTTTTTGTACTACACTGGCTGTAGTACTCAGAGACTGAAGACTGTCCGATGCAGTAGAGGAGCATGTTGGTGTCTCCGGCCAAACTTCACGAACAGCCCAACAACCTGAAGACAATCTGTTAGTGATGGACATCTCTCTGGTGGAGTGCAGAGAGGAACTGTCTCTTATGAGCAGAAACGGAAACTGGATAAAAAATGATGGATCTGAATATCAGGTTGGTCTGTTATGTAATGTACATATCTGGCAATCTACCTGTTAAAAGAAAATGTACTCTATCATATTACATGAACTGCATGCATTGATACAGGCTTTACTTTCTCCACCTTGTACTTTGAACAATTTCATGCATATTGTATTGAAGAAAAATGTATTAAGCATACTGCATTTTGTATTGCACAGCTGATATGTGAGACCGTTTGATAAGCGACATGTGAAACATGCACATTATTCCACGTTGTAATATGTTTTGTAATGATGGTGCACGTTTTGAAATAAATGCATTTGAGAAAATCATTGGCTCTTTATTAAATGTTTATTTTCCAAAGAATTTTTAAAAGTTCAAAACAATAAAATACCTATTTAATATTAATTACATATAACTCTTAAGAAGTTAGAACAAATATTCTGTGAGAGTTAATATTAAGATCTAACACTGAATTAGTGTCAGTAAGTGTTAAATGATTAACTCCAGCAGATTTGATATTTGACACTTTATAAGAGTTAAGGTACTAACTCTCCAAAAAGAGTTAAATTAACACTTTCTGGTGTGGACCCATATAGACACTTTAAAATTGTTGAAATCAAATCTCAGAGTTAATCTGGGCCTCCTGGATTTGCTGTGTGGAAATGATCTCAACCAGAAACCTGATGATCTGTGTTGCCATGGCAACGTCTCCTGTCTGAGCTCATAAGTTTAACATTTGTGTCCTGATTGATAAAGTGAGGAGAAATGTCTGCATGCTGGAGACTTAACCAACCGGCACCCCACACGGACAGATGAGGTCGTTCTGCTCCGGTTCTGACCAGCATCATGACTCCAGCAACAAGTTACTGATTCACCTTTAAAACCCAAATTATTCACACCGCTTTAGATGCAGATGTAAAATTCAGTGAAGTTTCTAAACTTCTAAAAAGATGCAACAATTTAACAGCTGATTAAAAAACAACAGATTCATAATGTTATCAATATTTATTGGAGGAATATTTGTCAGATCCTTCTAACAGCTGAGCTCCAGGTTTCTTTTTAGTTTTTTATTTTTGGGGAACGTTTCCTCACCTTCACTCTAACCTTTATCTCCCTCCTCATCATCAGTTCCAGGTCAGGACTCTGGAATATTAATATTAATATTAATATGGCCTCCAGTCAGAAGAAACATGATCAAATTAAAGTTCAGTTTAAATCTGTTTTACTCCAGTTTCTCCTCCGACCGGCTGAGAAACCAGCAGGAAACCAGAGATCCAGCTTCGTTTTCCCAAACTGCATCACAATCAATCGTCTTGATTTATCTTCTAAAAACCATCAGTTTAATTCAGATAGCCAATATGTTTTAATATCTGTTTTATATCTGTGTTTTTCTATTTTAATTATTTTTCTTATCACACCAGAGGGAAACTTGCTGTTTTTAAATAAATTTAAGTTGAACTTTGGAGTCCAGAGAGTAAAAAATTAGCAACAGAAAACCATAAAAACATTTTCAGATGGAGATGAAAACAGAAGTTAATCAAAATAAAATGATTTTAAGATGAAACTCATCCAACCTCACACAGATTATTTTATTTTAAGACAAACTTTAGTTTATTAACCTGTTATAAATTTACAGCCAAATATCTCATTTTAATAACATTTCTGCTGTTGCAGTTTTATCGTCACTTCTTGTAAATAATCTTTTGTACAATTAAATTGTTTTCATGAGTTTTTGAGAATAAAAAGATGAAAACTGGTTTTAAAATCAACTCTTCATTCTAAACCAAATATTGGTAACACTTTATTTGCCGGGTGTGAATAAGACTGACATGACACTGTCATAAACATGACATAACATGAAGATGAAGGAGTCTTTATGAATGTTTATGACTGTTGTCATGAAGTGTCATGAGGTAAATTATGACACTTTTAATGCAAAGTTGGCATTTTAATGGACTTTTAATCCAACTTTTAGAGCAACTTTGCATTAAAAGTCATTATTTACTGAATGACACTTCATGACAACATTCATAAAGACTCCTTCATGTTTATGACAGGTGTTATGTCAGTCTTATTCACACCCCTTCAAATAAGTTTTACCCAAATATCCTTTAATCAACACAAAATCAAATTCATGTGGAAATAAATTAGATTCTGGTGAAATTTGGATTTTTCTCTTTGCTAATATTTTGTGGACAACAGAAAAATGTTTGACATCAAATCTATTCATTAAGCAAAAAATATTTTATTAAGCAAAGAAACATTTTATGTAATAAGTCAGTTTTGCAGAACCTAAACATGTTTTATTTTCTCCTTAAATGAGAAAAGTAGAATAAATCTCACTGAGACTAACGGGTCGGAGCAGAACCTGGTAACGAGTTCAGGACCCAACAGGAGCTAACCAGGCTCTGCTGGGGGGATCTGCCTTTTCTTCTGTTGTCATGGTTACCGGCTTGCTGATGAAGATGAAGAGGAGGGGGCGGAGCCTAATCGACCCACGTTACCAAATTCTGCTTTAAGAAGAAACAATCCTGGAGGATCCAAAACGGATTTCAGACACTTGAGGTGTTTGGTTCAAATACTCATCAAAATCACAATAATATTTATAAAACCAGAACATGAAGTTCATTACAACCAGGAGAAACTCAGAACCCGTCAGGTTCTGGTCCACAGGGATCCGTTCTGCTTTGTTTTACTGCATCTGTTTCTGAAACAGTTTGTAAAATATCTGGATTTTCTCTGCAGATAAAACTGAAGTTCCTCCATGTTGGTGAAAAAGCTCCAGAAGTTCACAATCCTCTTATTTAGATTGGAAATGTTTTTCCAGGCTTTATTCATCAGTTCTGAGCAGTTGTGGTGCCTGATGAGGTTCTGGTGCCACGATGAGGTTCTGGTGCCACAATGAGGTTCTGGTGCCACGATGAGGTTCTGGTGCCAAGATCAGGTTCTGGTGCATGATGAGGTTCTGGTGCCACGATCAGGTTCTGGTGCCACAGTCAGGTTCTGGTGCCATGGTCAGGTTTTGGTGCCTGATGAGGTTCTGGTGCCACGATGAGGTTCTGGTGCCACAATGAGGTTCTGGTGCCACGATGAGGTTCTGGTGCCAAGATCAGGTTCTGGTGCCATGGTCAGGTTTTGGTGCCTGATGAGGTTCTGGTGCCAAGATGAGGTTCTGGTGCCACGATGAGGTTCTAAAACACCAGGAAGCTGTTTGAATATCTTGAAGGAAGTTTTTCTTTCATTCCTCTCAGAAGTTCAGTGCGGTGTGGACGTGCTCCGTTTCGTCCTTTGTCCACTTCCTGTCCTCAGGAGCCACTTCCTCCTGCAGCAGGGCTCTGAGGACAGCGAGGAGGCGCTGATGGACCCTGCGGGCTCCGCCCTCATCATCCGCGCCGCCGTCGGTCTCGGAGCAGTCCTGCACGGCTCGCTGCAGCTCCACCTGTTCAATGAAACGGCTCTGAAGAATCAACCAGGGTTTAAAATGATCTGAAGTTCGTCACAAGAAACAGATGAAAGGCTGAAAGTTTTAGATAAACCACTAAGATACCAACAGTGTCCTTTAGGTGGCGCTAATATGTTTTATCGTCCTGTAATCCCCAGAAATACATAAGAAAAGGAAGAACATTTCAAATGTATTTTTACAGTAAACCATTGAAAACCAAATCTTTCATTCTGGGAGCCAAACGTGTTGCACAAACGGCTCCGATGGCACATCTGACCTCCATGTGGAGTTTAACATGGCAAACTACAGACTGAGGGAAGACGGCGCAGTTTGATCAGCCTGTAAATAATCTGAATATTTAAATATTACAGACTAATTAAAGGTATCAGGCATTTTAATCGCTGGTCATGTACCTGATCCTCATCTGGTCCAAATTTGAAAACGTTGCACATTCAGTGATATGAGTTAATGAATTAGTTGGAATATTAGTAAATGTTTAATTTTAGATCATAAAACCTGCATTAAAAATGTCTTTTTCTCAGTTCTCCTGTTTTTATCCTGTCCTGCTTCAGTTAGTAAATCTTTGGTTTCACAGGTTTTAAGTGGTACCTGAAGCGGGAGTCCTGCTTTCGCGCCGAGAAGAGTTGGAGAAAACCAGGGCCGGAATATTTTCTCACAAATCACCTGAAAAAGAAGAAAACAGGACAGATGGAGATCTGGAGGGGAACATGGTGTGTTTAACGCAAAACAAACGTTAAGAAACGGAAAATCTGTGAAAAATAAAGAAAAAGAAATGAAAAGTAATAAAACAGAAAATAACAGATCTAGAATGATCTGAAGCAGCAAAGCTTTCAGGAAAACAAAACCGTCTTTCTGAAAGAGATGATTGTCAGAGGCGGGTCATCAGGTCAACCTGAGCAGACACCTGTGGAGCGTCGGCCAATAGGAGAGCAGCTTGTCTCTGACATGTCATCAGCTCCGGTCGTCACTCAGCTTCTCTTTATTTTCCTCCTCTCCTCTTTCTCTCTTTGTTCTTCGTTTTCTTTGTTTAAAGTTAAACTGTTTTGGTTCTTTGGTTTACATATAAAAGATGCAGTTTTATATATTTTTTATATATAATGTTCATTTATCAACTTTTGACTTTTATTTCTTATGAAATAAAACAAAGAAGCCGTTTAAAATTTTATCCACGTTTTGTTTAAATTTATTTAAATCATTAATCTTTAAATCTCAGCTCAGCCTGTAGATTATTTCACCTTTATGAACTTTGATTATTTTTCTTTTCTTCTCTTTCTTCTGGTTTCCATCTTTTCTCTCCCATCGTTTCGTTCCATCATCACCTGGATGAAAACAGCTTCTCTCTATGAAAGCAGATATCTGCTATCATCAGACATTTGATCGGCGGCTTGACGACAGTCTGCTGTCATGACGACGACGATGATGATGGTGATGAAGGTCTGAGGCCTTTCAGGCCGAAAGGCCTCAGACGATTTTACATACTTTCCTTCTTAATTTGTTGTTAACATCCATTATTATTAGTTTTATTTCATAATATTTAATTCATTTTCAGCTACATAACGAATTAACATTTATTTCAATCTAACGATGCTCCATTTACAATATAAAGTCGAATTATCCTGGTATAATTAACAATCTCAAAGACACAATAAGCAGAAGAAAATTAATATTTCATCCTAATATAAATCAGTAAAAAATATTTAGTTTAAAGAATAAAATACCCAGCCTGGGTTTTAGTGTTAAATTCTGGAAATTTAAACCTAAATTAAATTTTCTGCACATTTTCAGCTTATTCTTCTGAGCCAAGAATAAAACTTCATGGCTCAGAAGTTTTATTCTTTCTTTATATGTGATGATTCAATTTGCTTTCATAATTTAAAATCATGAAATAGAATTTTTTCTTTAAAGTTTCAAGGTGAAATAAATAATAAAGATAATTTCAGAAATTGGTATTTGAGAAATTCACAGGATAAAAACTTAATTTTATTCACAGTAAGAAAAAGTTTCTCTGAATCTCAGAATCAGTTTCTAGAGACGGAGGTGAAACCTGATGCACTGGTTGTTGCATCACCTGCAGGTTGGTGTTCCTGCGGTGCGGGCTGCACCTGCGTCGGTCCGGCTCGCACCTGGACCAGCAGTCAAAGAAGTTACAGTCGTCGTCGCTGCTGCAGTTCTGCTCCAGGATGTCCCTCATCTTGGGCTCGAAGAACGCCATGTCCACGTCGATGGCCACGACCTGCAGGACGGAACCAGAGCCACGTTACACCGAGACAGAGAGAACAGAGGAAAGCAGCGTTTTATCAAAACAGGAAAAACTAAGTCTAAACATGTTGGTCCAGACCTTTAATGGTCTGTTTTAAAAATAGTTTTAACCTGGTTGATTTTTTTCTAAAGAGGATAACAAGTTTTTTTTAATAGAAAAATAGATTTTGAATCAGAAAGATCAAAATCTAAAAAAAGAAAAACCAAAAATTAATTTGTGAAAACTTTTAGACACTTTTATTTTGAAGGCGGATGTGGGCTCCATAAAACATGACATTTATTTCAGTAGTTTATTTTTCTAAAACATTAATAATTTAATTTATATTTAAAAAATCTGCTGAACTTAAATTTCCTTAGAACAAATCAGGCATCAGAAATTATGAAAAAATCATTTTTAGAGACTAATCTCCAACTTAATAAAATTAATTTTAAAACAGAAAATATGAAAATACAAAACATTTATTTTTGAAAGAGACTCAAAATGTTATCTGTTGATTTATACAGTATGAAGGATTTATTAATAAAGTCACTTAAATGATAATATTTCTAATAATAATGTTAATATAATAATAATTATGAATTATTATAATTATGGATGGTCAGAGTTTCACACTCCAATAACTTTAATGTAAAAGTTGTCAATGTGAGTTTTTAGTTTGTTTATAATTAAATGTGGAAGCAAAACAACAAATTTAATAATTTCATTAAATTTTGTAAAACATGAACATTTTCTTTTATTAAGTCAGAATATATGAAGTTAATTTAAAGCCTGAAATTTTTTACAAAATGCTGTGAAGAAAATCTGATTGTAAAGTTTTAATGTTAGAAATGAAATAAAAGCTTCAATTAGGGATTTAATCTGAAGATTAATAATCTGAAGATTAATAATCTGCTGGGATTTTACACGTTTACTGGATTTATGGTTAAGAATAAACAGGAAAAAAATTTATTTTACGACAGTGGAGCTCAGTAACGATTTGTCTGATTTAAGTTTTTACAATATGTTTAAATCTTTTAACAAATAATAAGTTTATTTCCTCGTCTAAATTAAATCTAGTTCAGATTTAAACTGAGAAAGTCTTTCCTGGTCCTCTGTTTTCTGTTCCCAGTTCTCCCAGTTCTCCCAGCAGCAGGGACAAAACAATGATCGCATTCAGCTGCAGCCCAGAACCAACTTTATGAGGCGTCGACGTTTTTATGGCCAGAAAACTTAAAAAAAGAAGAAAAGGTGAAAAATGAGCCAGAAACCGTCGTTAGTTTAAAACCAGCAGAATCTGTTGATTATTACTGATTATTGTTTTAGTTTCATAAGCAAACCTAAATGATTAACTGTAGCTTTACATCCAGTCCTTCAGGTCTTCATAAAGTTGGAGCTAAAATAAAAATCTTTGTAATGGATGGAAACTTTCCATGTGGCTTCAGTTCAAAGTTTGTCTTTATTTTTCTGCCTGAAGCGTCAAAATCTACAGTTTCGTAAAATGTTCCAGGAATATGACTGGAAACTTACAGTCATATTTCACTGTTGGCACAGATATTATTTAGTTAAAACTGTTTTTACCGATCGACAGATCAGATCAGCTGATATTTTCCTAATAACTGAATTTATTCAGAAACAGATTCAGACAGTTCAAACATAAACATGTTTACTTTCATAACCTGCATTTTATGGTTGAGTCATTAACTCAAACTTATAACTCAGATTTATGTTAGTTTTATTTTGATGAGTTTTCTATGTGTTGTTAGATGAAGACCTGAACTTTAACCTTTGACCTGATTCCAGAACATTTCAGAGTTTTTCCTTAAAGTTGAGCAGAAGCCAGACTCGCCGTCAGGTCCTTCCTGATGCCGAAGTTCTCCGGTTTGACGTCACACAGGTGCAGTCTGTGTGTGAAGTCGTTGTCAAAGTGCTGCACCATGTCCATGAAGCTCAGCGCCACCCGATGCACCATCAGCCTGGAGCTCCAGCCACCAGAACCTGCAGCCTGACCCGGCGCCCTGGGAGCCGACGCCTCGTCCATGGAGAACAGGTTCTGGTCCCAGGTGTGTCCGGCCGACAGGAACTCCACGGCGTAGAAATGACCGCAGGAGCCCAACACCCGGGCCACATGGGGGCTGAGGTCCTGCAGGACTCTGCAGGGAACAAACCTTTAAATCTGGACCCGTTTGGTTCTGATCAATCAAACTCATTGCATTCAGAAACAGACGAACTAATCCAACCACAGGAGTCCAGAACCTGGACCGACTGGGTCAGCTGGTTCTCCTCTTCATCATTTCCTGTTTTTTATCCAAATAAATTAAAACCTGAACATTTTCTACATGAATCAAACTGAATGTGAAGTTTTGTGCAGCAGGACAAATGAAATGTTGACACAAAGCATTTAGAACTAAATGAGTCTGAAGTCATTTGTGGCTCCGAGTCGCTGCTGCTCACCTGAGGAAGGTGTACTCCTCCTGCTGCAGCAGCGCCCACAGGGAGCCCAGATCGGCTCTGGAGTAACTTTTCTCTCGGAGCTTCAGGTTCTGCCCCCACAGGCCGGACAGAGAGCCGTTCCTTCCTCCTCCCTCCTCCTCTTCCTCAGCCAGACCCAGAGAGTTTCTCACCTGAGCCCAGAACAGCGTCACCTGTTCAGGCTGTCAGGAGCCAAAGATGGGATTATTCAGCTGAGATGACTCACCTCCAGAGTGGCGTAGAAAACCACGTCCAGCGCCGACAGCTCCTCTCCTGCTTCCTGCAGGAGAGAAAAAGATTTATTTCTAATTCACATCGAGGCGAAAAACACAAAAACATGAAACTCTGATGAATTTCATTTTGAGTTTTGGCTGATGGATCAACACAACTATTAAAATTATAAAAGAGAAATGATACAGAGTTTTCAAACCTTATGTTCAGATAAATAAAGGTTTAGATTTAAAGACAGAAAACGATTCCTGAACTTCATCCTGAAAACACTGCAGTCTTAGTGAAAAACGGGGGTGGCAGCATCATGCTGTGGGACAGGAAATGGGAAGATGGATGAAGGTAAACCTGGAAGAAAACCGGCTAGTTGCTCCACAAGACCTGAGACTGGGGTGGATATAGGTCAAAATGGCCTAGTCAAAGTTCAGGAAAGTGTTGCTCCAGATTGAATCAGATGGAGTTTGATCTGTTTGCAAAAAGGAATGAAAGAAAGAAACATCCAGTAAAGATGGAGGAAGAAAGAACAGATTCATTTCTCTCCTTGTTTTCTACAACAGACCAACAACACATTCATGTTGGTAACGACTCCAGACTCCCCCTGCTGGCCTGGAGGATCTTCTGTTGGTGCAGCAGGTTGCAGCATTTTACCACAACTTGCTGCTGTTTTTGCTGTTTCCTGTTTGCAGCATTTTTCAGCTGAATTAGTTTTTTGTGTTTTGTCGTTTGGATCTTTTAGTGCAGTACACTCCACACTTTTCAGATTGGGTGGTCACCTGGTAGTCCAGCAGGCCCAGCGGCTCGTAGGAGGAGAAGTTCTCCAGTTTGGACTTGAGGATGACCCGGTTCCCTCTCCATCGGGCCTCCATCACCTTCTTCCCGTTCTCGTAGTAAAGGCAGCGCTGATACTCCACCAGGCCGCCGACGCACAGATCCTCACACAGGTCGCCGCTCAGCGAGCCGCGGCTGAAGTCCAGGCACTGCGGAGGGAAACATGGAGGACGTTACAGAACCAGGACCCAACAGAACCGAGCTGGGTGTGGCTTTTGCTGCCTCATTAAACATAAACTCCAGTTTTCCTAACATCCTGCCGGCAGTGATGGCGGCCATCTTGTTACTGATGGGATCAGAAACACACCGAACCGACGGGCCTCCTGGTTCCGCTCGGGATTAGCGGGATAATCGCGGCTCTGCTCACATTCCTACACAAACATCCGACAGCGAGGAGAGAAACTGTCAGGAAGAGGCTCCGGCAGAGAGCGGAGGTCAGAGGTCAGACTGGATGGAGACGCTCCTTCAGCGAGATGAGAATAAAAACAAAAACTTTCATCTAGATCCTGTTTAAGTTAAATTAAATTAAATATCCTCTCCAGCAACATGTTCTGCATAAATATTAATCTGTAAGAAACATCATGAACATTTTTTTCCTCAGGAAAGTTCAAAATAAATTAAAGTTTTTTAGATTGTAAATTTTATTATTTTTATTAAAAAAATATTTTTTTTAATTAATCAAAGACACATTTTAATTTTTTTAAATATTTTATTTCAGGAATTATTCTACATCTCATGAATCGTTTAAATCAGGACTGAAAATATTAATTTTACTGCTGCTAATAGAATTACTATCACATTTAATATTTTACTTAAATTTCATTATTTTAATATTTTTCTGTTTTTCAACAGTTCATCTGGTTTTTCCTTTATTTGATGTTTTTTTCTCTTTTTGACTCATTTTGTTCCTGAGTTTATTCTTTCCTTTCTTTTCCAGCCAGTTTCTCTCTGTTCATTCTCTCCATCCCTCCTTTCTCTCTCTTCTCCTTTAACCCGTAGCCGTTCCTCTGCTCTCCGTCTCGTTTCCTCCGGCTCGGTGAAGACGCAGCAGAAAGGCGTCTTTGTTTCTCTGCATTCCTTGAAGCCGAGCAGCGAAACATGAAAACGTTTTGATGACATTCCTGAGTTTGACTGAGAGACTCAGGAACCTTGAAGAGCTGCTGGGTTTCTACTGGGACGTCAACGACCCTCTGACCAAATGCTACTGGTTTAGTAGCTACACCTGCTTTATTACACATTTATTGAATCAGCCAATCAGCCGGCAGAAACTCATTTAGACACGAAGTCACTGAAGATCAGATGAGCATCAGGAAGACGAATGAAGGAAGTTGAAACGCAGCAGGGCTGTTGGTCCGATTGGTTCAGATGAGCTACAGCAGCAGAACACCAGACCGACAGAACCGTCGGATAAAATCAGGAAACTGAAGCTAAAAGCACCCAGACCCTCCAGAACAGATGGAAGAACATTTACAGGTCCAATTCAAACCCAAAGTCCAGACAGAATCTGATGGAAACTTCATCAAACATGGATCCTTCCTTCATAGTCCAGCCTGGTGGAGGTGGTATCATGATGGGGGACATTTTATAGGTTCACTTTAAGGTGTTTCCCTCCTGATGGTCCGGTCGACCCGGTTCTACTGGAACCAGAACATCTGCTCCACCTGCAGCTGCTGTGGTTCTGAGTCAAACCAACCTGTTCCCCTCCTGGCCTGTGGGGGCGCTGCACCAAGAACCACTGAAGGAAACGACACAAAAACCTCTGAGACACTGAGAGCAACTTCCTTCTTCACCAGATGGAAACAAGATGGAGGCGTCAGATTTTAGCATTGGAGGATTTCTCTTTAGGCTAAAGACCAGGAGCCATTTCTGCTGCTAGCGCTAGGCTAGCATGTTAGCTTTGGTTGTATTTACCAGGGTTTCCATCAGTGTATTATAAGCCTGGCGGCCTGCCATGCTTTACTATCCCGCTGCCAGGCTAAGCGTTGCTTGTTTAAGTTTCTAAGGGGGAAATTTTTTTTTGTTTTTTTTGTCTTTTCTTTTTAAAGCCGGCCTGCAAGCGTCTGTTTTGCTCTCAGCATTTCACTAGCAGAGCAGATTTATCCTAAATGATAGGTTTATAATAAGTTTATAGTTTATGCATTTAAAGCCGACAGCGCGGACCAATCACACAGCTGGAGCCTCCTGTCACTCAAATTGGACTCAGGCTGGATATTTACATCAACCTACTGTGAGGAATTATGATCCTTTGGAGAAACTCTAGGTAAGAGTTTAGAACCCGCCACGTCGCTCTGGTTGCTCAATGTGAACCGCAGGAATAACTTGTAGTGAATTCAGAGGCGGAGCGGTGAGAATGATTTATCTTTGTGAACGAATTANTATTTTAATAATTAATTTTTCAATAAATACCGTATTTTCCAGACTATAAGGCACCTAAAAGCCTTAACTTTTCTCAAAAATCACCAGTGCGCCTTATATGTGCGCTGAATTCCAAAATCTGTCCCTGAAACAGAGAGACGTAAAGTGTAAAGTTCATACGCCAGCAGCAATAAACCAATCAGGGATTGTTGTCCGAGTTCTGCAGCATAGCCTCCGGTAAAAACCAGATCGATTTTTCCATGCATCACCGTCCCTGTTCATCTGCGACTCCATGCACGCCCATCTCACTGCTACTGTGGAAAAGGAAGCGAAGCAAACTGATTCGGAGTTTGCCGTCATTCTGGGAGGATTAACAGAAGAACTCCCATCGCTGGACATCGGTGTAAACAGGCCGTTCAAACAGAAGTTGAGCGGCGTGGGAGCGATGGACGACAGACTGCGAACGCACATTTACTAAGACGGGAGGCGGCGCCGGGCGAGTTACACCACCAATGGATGGTGGATGCCTGGGCTAATGCATCGGCCTTAACTGAGCTTCATTAAAGCCGCATTGTTGCTGAACAGCCACCTGGAAACGAGTCCGACTCCGACAATGATGAGAGGGAACCTGGCATGTTTGATGGCGAAACATGCTGTTCAATTCAGATAAGAGGAGGACTTTGATGGATTTGTGGATTCAGTTATCTTTATTTTCTTTTGTTGAACGTATGTTTTAGCATGCGCCTTATAGTGTGGAAAATATGGTACTCGACATAGTATCACAAAATATGTAACAGAAAAAAACAACAAACAGAAAAACAAAACACACACCACGCAATACATTACATTAACACCCTTCCACACATGATTTCTCCTTCTCCACTCTACAAATTACTTCCCCATAACTCCAAGTGTGACAAAAAGTATCTAAATCTGAAACTGATTTATAAAAATTAAATTCAAGCAATAGCCTAGATTTCACCAGGTTCACAAATAAAGAAACCACGTCAATATTCAACTCTTCCTCCACCTTCCTCTTTCTGCTTATGTACACGGCCATTTTAGCCTGTCCTAACAAAAAGTTTATCAGCTGACATTTACTCTTTATTTGGCGTGTGAATTTAACACCACAAATAAATCCCTGTTTAGTGAAAACTTTGCCAAATCTGTTGAAAATAATTCTCAAAAGCACAAAAAGAGCTGACAGACAATGAAACGCTGTTTCCCTCTGTTCACAAAATGGACAGTTTTCTCCTACAGCAGGATTAATAACAGAAACAAGAGTTTTACAGCTACAATACCATGAAGGATTCTCCACTGTAAATCTGCATGTTTTATACAACGATTTCCATTCAGGCTTGATTTCAGGTGTTAAGGAGATATGAGATCTCCACACTGTGTCACTGCGTCCATTCAGTTTGTTCTGATTAAGAGTTTTTACAAACAGCCTACAGATCATTTTCCCAGAAGCTCCTTCTAGGGAGATTCCTTTACTGTCCACCGAATCCAGTAAAGGACCAGAGCAGTTCTTGATCCCAGGAAACAGTCTGATGGATGGAAAAGGTCCAGATGATTTGGTAACACAGAACCTTCATAATAATCAGTCAAAAGGGAACATTGATGTTCACTTAACTTGTGTTTCCAGTAGCTCAAAAGCCGACCAACAACTCTAACAGATTCTATTCCCAAACAAGCAGCGAGTTCCACAGGATCATCCAGTCGAGGTCCAGTCATCTCTACCACCCTCCCAAAGCAATAGACATTTGCAGTGTGGATAAGTTTGGATAAGGTTTTTCTGCCCCAAACAGGACAATCCAGCAAACTCCCGAACAGAACCGGTTCCTGGAGCAGCCAGTACAGAGACTCAGCCTGCTGCTGCCTCTCCTTCCTCAGCAAAGTCCACACAGAGAAAACGCTCTTATAAAAACCTGTGAGAAGAGAAGAGTTCAGTTTGCTGGAGTCCATCAGAAAGAGAGGCAGATCCAGACCCATGCCACCAAATCTCCGAAGAATGCAGCACGATATTCTCCTCCACACCAGGTCTGTGGGTCCTGTGAGCAGTCTCTGAATGAACTGAAAACAAAAAGCAGCACCTCTGCTGGCCAGATGGACCAGATGTCCACCTTCCTCTCTCAGCAGAAAGATAATACTTTGAGGAATCCAATGAAGTTTATTCCAAAAAAATCCACCAGAACCCTTTGAACATTTGATAAAAGAGAAACTGGAGGATCAACACACATCAACCGATGCCACATGGCGGAAGAAACTAAATTATTAATAACAAGAACTTGTCCTCTATATGACATTTTAGGTAAAACCCACTTACATTTCAAAAGTCGACCCTTAACATTATCCAATACATTTTCCCAGTTTCTTTGCACAAAAGTTTCATTACCTAAAAAGACGCCTAAATACTTGAGCCCACCTTTTCTCCACACTAGACCTCCAGGCAGACTGAGTTGATCCCCCAACCAACTCCCAACAGCGATAGCCTCACTCTTTCTCCAGTTTATTTTAGCAGAAGAAAAGCAGCCAAAAAGAAGAACAGTGTTGACTAAAACATCAATATCTTCCTGCTCGTTTACAAAAACTATTAGATCATCAGCATAAGCTGACAACTTTAAAGAGACACCCAGGAATAGAAACACCACACAAATCTTTCCTCAGCTTATGAAGCAAAGGTTCAAATGCCAAGGAATAAAGCATCCCTGACAAAGAACAGCCTTGCCTCACTCCTCTTAAAACATTGAATGGAGCACTTAAGCCTCCATTTATTTTAAGTACACTCGCAATGCCACAATACAAAATCTGGATGTTTGCCACAAATATCGGTGTTCAACCCGGTCAAAAGCTTTTTCTTGGTCTATAGAAATCAGACCAATATCTAAGCCCTATGAGCTGGAGATTTCTAAAACATCTCTGATTAATAGAATAGAATAGAATAGAATTCAACTTTATTGTCATTGCACCATCACAAGTACAAGCAACGAAATGTAGTTTGCATCTATCCAAAAGTGCTATACAGGGTATAAATATTTACAGGTGTACAAAGGTGGTTATAAAAATAAAATGTTCAGCATAAATATAATATAATATAGATAAAAATATGGGAGCTATGCACATATACAGATTATGCAGATTATAGAGAATATACAGAAATGTTAGGAATGGATTGTATATGTATTATTGGGTTTACAATACAAGATAGATACTGGCAAATAAGATTTACAGATTTACAGATTATATACAGATTATGTATGAATGTGAGGACAGTCCATATGTTACTGTTGTATGGGGGTTTGGGGGTTACAGTCCTTATAGTTGTGTCAGGAGGCGTTCAGGAGCCTAACAGCTGTAGGAAAGAAGCTGTTCTGATGCCTGGTGGTACTGGTCCGTAGGCTCGTATAACGCCTCCCAGAGAGCAGGAGGGAGAAGAGTGTATGTAAGGTCCTTGGTGATTTTCCCAGCCCTTTTCAGACACCTCTTCCTGGAGATGTCCTTGATGGCAGGGAGCGGTGCTCCGGCAATGTGCTGGGCAGTTTTCACCACCCTCTGCAGCGCCTTCTGGTCAGAGACAGAGCAGTTCCCATACCAAACTGTAATACAGTTGGTGAGGATGCTCTCGATGGTGCAGCGGTAGAAGTTCGTGATAATCTCTGAGGACAGATGGTTCTTCCTCAGGGTCCTCATGAAGAAGAGGTGCTGGTGTGCCTTCTTGATGAGTTTGGAGCAGCTGGTCGTCCAGGTCAGGTCCTCGGATATGTGGACCCCCAGGAACTTAAAGCTGTCCACACGCTCCACCTCTGTCCCCTTGATGTGGATGGGTGGGTGTAGGTCAGCGTTCCTCCTGAAGTCCACGATGAGCTCCTTGGTCTTCTCTGTGTTCAGCTGCGGGTTGTTTTTGTTGCACCATCCAGCTAGATGGTCCACCTCCTCCCTGTAGCCGGCCTCATCATTATCTCTGATTAGGCCGATCACCGTGGTGTCATCTGCAAACTTGATGATGGCGTTTGAGCCATGGACAGGTCTGCAGTCGTAGGTGAGGATGGAGTAGAGGAAGGGACTCATCACACAGCCTTGTGGCACTCCGGTGTTTATGATGATGGTGGATGAGAAGTGGTTATCCAGCCGGACATGTTGGGGTCGACTGGTCAGGAAGCTGAGCAGCCAGTTGCACATGAGTGAACTGATGCCTAGGGCTAACGGGCGGTAGTCATCGAGTCTGGTTGAGTTGGAATTCTTGGGAATTGGGACGATGGAGGTAGACTTGAAGCAGGTCGGTACCACAGCGCGGGCCAGGGACAGGTTGAAGATCTCCGTCAGCACTCCTGCCAGCTCCTCAGAGCACGCTCTAAGGACACGTCCAGGTATGCCATCAGGACCCGCAACCTTGTGGGATTTAATCCTGCTCAGAGCCGCTCCTACGTCAGTGGAGAGGAGAATCAGTGGCTTTTGGTCTGAGGTGGTGGTTGCCTTAGTTGCAGTTGTGGTGTTCCCTCTCTCAAAACGAGCACAGAAGTTGTTAAGCTCGTTGAGGAAGGAGACATCAGAGGAGGCGGGGGAGGTGTTAGGGTTCTTGTAGTCTGTGAGAATCTGAAGGCCTTGCCACATACGTCGGGGGTTGGAGTTGGAAAAGTGATCCTCCACCTTCTTTTTGTAGTGGTGTTTGGCCTTCTTGATTTCCCTCTTCAGCTCAGCCCTGGCTGCACTGTAGGTCTGTGCATCCCCTGACCTGAAGGCGATGTTGCGGGCCTTCAGCAGGAGACGAACATCTCGGTTCATCCAGGGTTTCTGGTTGGTAAACATGGTGATGCATTTATGGGTAGTGACGGAGTCTATGGTAGTGGAGATGTGGTCCAGTACAGATGAGGCGTACTGATCCAAGTCTGTGTGGTGGAAAGTATTCCAGTCTGTATTCCTGAACCGATCCCGGAGCACAGCGTCTGACCCCCCTGGCCACACCTTTACTGTCCTCACAGTGGGTTTCACACGTTGGATGAGTGGTGAGTACCGAGGTGTGAGGAACAGGGAGAGATGATCTGATTGTCCGATGTGGGGGAGGGGTGTCGCCTTGTAAGCTCCAGTCAGATTGGAGTAGACATGGTCCAGGGTCTTGTCTCCTCTGGTGTGGCAGGAGACGTGTTGGTGAAATCTGGGGAGGACTGTCTTCAAGTTGGAGTAGGTGAAGTCACCCGCAACAATAAAGGCAGCCTCGGGGTGTTTGGTTTGGTGTTTGCTAATGGCCGCATAGAGTTCTTTCATGGCTAGCTTGGCATTAGCATCCGGGGGATGTACACAGCAGTGAGGATGATTGAAGTGAATTCCCTTGGGAGGTAATAAGGTCTGCATTTGACCATTAAAAACTCAGCATTCTGTGAGCAGTGACTTTCGGTAGTAGCAGAGTCTGTGCACCAAGCTTTGTTAATAAAAATGCACAAGCCTCCGCCTCTGGTCTTACCGGAGTCATCTGCTATCCTGTCGGCTCGGTGTGTGTGGCGTCCAGTTAGCTGGATAGCATTGTCCGGACAGCTGTTGTTTAGCCATGTTTCGGTGAAAAACATGACATTTGAGTCCATAATCCGTCTGTCAGTGTTTTCCCCAGTGTATTATAAGCCTGGCGGCCCGCCATGCTTTACTATCCCGCTGCCAGGCTAAGCGTTGCTTGTTTAAGTTTCTAAGGGGGAAATTTTTTTTTGTTTTTTTTGTCTTTTCTTTTTAAAGCCGGCCTGCAAGCGTCTGTTTTGCTCTCAGCATTTCACTAGCAGAGCAGATTTATCCTAAATGATAGGTTTATAATAAGTTTATAGTTTATGCATTTAAAGCCGACAGCGCGGACCAATCACACAGCTGGAGCCTCCTGTCACTCAAATTGGACTCAGGCTGGATATTTACATCAACCTACTGTGAGGAATTATGATCCTTTGGAGAAGCTCTAGGTAAGAGTTTAGAACCCGCCACGTCGCTCTGGTTGCTCAATGTGAACCGCAGGAATAACTTGTAGTGAATTCAGAGGCGGAGCGGTGAGAATGATTTATCTTTGTGAACGAATTATATGCGGCGTTTCCATCTCAACACGCTGCCCAGCGTGTGGCTCTGTGTCCGTCTTCCCTGTAAAGTTTATGTCTGGTCCCGGTTGGCCGGAGCGTTTGTGGATAACGAGCAGCGCTAACCTCATCATGCAGGTTCAGCCCGGTGAGGAGCTTTAACGCTCTCCTCGGAGTCACGCATCACGCTGATTTTATGTTATTTTATTATTATTTTTAGTATTAATTTTCTTGTTACATGATGCATCAAACCATATCAAATGCATCGTCTACTTAAACTCGTCCCATAAACTCGACCAACCAGAATAGTTTCTGTGACGCTTATTAAAAACTCAACAGACACGAAATGAAAGAGCTACTAAAGCCACATTAGCAGCATTGAATTAAATCTCCCGTTTGTTGCGCATCTCTGCGTAGTGCAGCAGATTATCTCATCATGCAGGGCCGGTCCAAGGCTGCATGAGGCCTGGAGCAGAATCTGACTTAGGGGCCCCTTTTGTTGCTAAAAATATCAACACCTCTAACAGCTTCTGTGTTAGATTTAGTGAAATATGGGAGAAGGGAGTAGTTTAATTGGCCAGCCTAAAAAGCAATAAGTTATAATCGCAGTTTACTAAATTGGATTTGTAAATTCAAAGATTAAACTCACAGCATTAGATTGTTGCTATGGTAACAAAACAGTCTAACTATGAATATTGTTCTTTGAAGTTTTACAAAGTAAACTTGCCAGCTCCTTAAAATCTTGTGTTTAAATGTTAAACAATTTAAAATAATTTAATTTATGTATGCTGAAATTGAATAAAGTTTATCAGCATTGATCATCTCAATAAACAAGTGTTACATTTATGTATCTGTGGTCTGTTTTAAATTTAGTGTTTATGGGGCCCCTGAAGCCCTGGGGGTCTGATGGAGCCGCTGACTTAATTTGGATTAAACAGAAGTGCAAATTTGTTGTTTTGAACTAGTTGTGGGTTTAAATAGCATTTCACTGGAGATCTTTTCCTGTAACATAATTACATAGTAATACTTTTACATTTGCTGTCAACATCTTTTAATACAAAAACGCGGTGGACTGCGGTGGACCGCCTCGACGCCTCGACCACCGAGCTTAGCAAGTTTTCTGGGGGAACCTTGCATTCATTTCCTGTCCAGCAGGAAATGTGACAGTGCTGCAGTCCTACATCCTGAGAGCCCGTTAGTGCGGCACCTGTTGATGTATGACTTCTGTCCTGACCATGAGAAACTGTTGTTCCCAGCATCGCTCAAGTCACAGGCGCAGTCTGGGCGCCATCAGGGCGCTGAGGTGCCTTCTGCTGCCTTCAGAGCGCTAAGTGCGGTGCGTTCAGGCGCAGTGGGTGCGCAGTGCGTTCGGGGGAATATTGATAATAAACAGTATTCATTATCATTGAACCAATGTATTTCATTAACATGATAATCATGTATGTTGATTCTTAGATTAATTGTCAAGAAAATAACTGACTGGATTGTTATTAGTTATTAACTAACTGACCAAACGTTTAGTTTCCTGACCAGCTAGTTAAGACGGCGTAATGTTTCTGAGGTTTTGCTGTGAGCTCACCTGGCTCTCATCAACCCATGTGTCCTGCTGTCGGCAGTAAGTACCAGGTGGTGGTGGAGGAGGAGCGCCCCCGGAGGCTGAAGAGAGGAACTGCAGAGATCCTGCGCTGCTACCCGGTTCCCATCCATTTCCAGAACGCCTCCCTGCTGAACTCCCAGTACTACTTCAGCGCTGAGCTGCCCATGGCCGACATGAGGAGCCCCACGCCCTTCTGTGTCGGTTAGTTAACTAGGATACCCCGCTAACAAGGCTAGTTGGTTAACTAGGTTAGTCTGCTAACTAGGCTACTTAGCTAGCTAGGCTACTCTTTTGTTATTTAACAGAAGCTGTTAACCAGTTACCAGGTTAAACCTGCATGTTTCTGTCTCGGCTTCTTTAAGGTAACCTGTAGCAACAGGTAGGAGGTCAGAGGTCGCTGCGGTGTAGTTCCTAGGGCTGGTTGTAGCCTTTACCAGGTGAACAGTGTGTGGGACAGGTTGGTTAACCTGCTGCCTGTGTGTTGGACAGGAGACAACAGAACCTACGGCGGCTACTGGAACGCGCCGCTGCTGCCGCACAAGAGCTACGGGGTCTACTACCAGGCTGTGAGCTCGGCCAACGGGGTGAGTCCAGCGCACTGGGCACACTGGTTATACTGGTTATATGCAGGGACGCAGGCTTCTCTGTGGTCTGCAGAAAGGGGTCAGAGGTCAGGATTTCCCATCATGCCTCTCTGTAGCAGCGGCATGATGGGAAATATTTGTTCTTTCAAAGCTTCACATTGACGTCTTGTTCCTGCTGACAGAGCCAGGAACACAGAGCGCTGTGTGTGTGTGTGTGTCAGCTCACATATTGCTGCAATTAAAGGATAACTGCTCACTTTCACACACACACAGATCGGAGTGTGTTAGTTTCATTATTGATGCTCAGAGTTTTAATTGGTGTGTGTGTGTTGAATAATGCAGGCGTAGTAGAGCTTTTTACTGTCACCACACACAGATGCTGTGTGTGTGTGTGTGTGTGTGTGTGAGCATGAATATTCATGAGCTCTTGTGGTTAATTTGTCGCTTGTTTGTTAAAACCAGAAACATGCAAGATGTTCTCTCTCGCCTTTCACCAAGCCAGCCTCAATGTGTGTGTGTGTGTGTGTGTGTGTGTGTGTGTGTGTGTGAGGATTGTTAAATGCCACCAGAGGCACTGATCC